AACCAATTTCAGAAGCCAGAGTTAATATATGTGAGAAAATTTCCCTCTGAGTATTGAAGTCACTGTGTCTCAACGTCTCTATTCCTTGCAGCTGAATACTTTCCTGCTTGTCATAAGTGGGAAAGGGGAAGAAACTAAACAGGCAAAGACAGAATTTCCTTTAATAGACTGAGGAAAAGGGAAAGGCAGTAGCATTGTGAATGCTTATGATTAATTACTTTTTCTTGTGATCCCTGACACACATTTTAATCACCTACTATATATGAAGTGCTAGCAAACACCTTGAGTCCTGCCCTCAGCAGCCGCATACCTACCTCCCTTATCCATTTTTGTAGTCAGTTTCTTTCTTATACTATGTATCATAGGTAAATTTTGAACATTGAAGCCCAGATTCCCATGAGTGCTTAAATCTTATATATAAGATTTGTGTATATAGCAATTGTGTAGTAGAGCAATTTGTGGTAGAGTCAAAATTACTAGCACACTTATTAAAACACATGCCTGAGAAAATTCCTTCCAGCAGTAAAGATTGATTCAGCACAGAAAGGAAGCATGTAGCTGGGCTGTCTTTTGTGCCCCACACCGACCTGGGTTGCACATCCAGCCTATGCTCCATGGCTCAGAGAGCTCTCCTTAGTTTTCTATGGGCACTTTAATGCTAGTCTCTGTCTTTGCTAAGGAAACCATAGGAAAATATATACACTAATGAGTTTCTCTTTTTCTTAGCCAAAGGAAGCACAAATATTAGGGCCCTGCATATGGGATAAAAGGAAAAGATAGGAAAATATTTATTTAGACCCTCTTTGCTCAAGGCAGTGTATTGGGCATTTTATTCTCTAGATATTCTTGGATGGCTCTTGCTTTAATGACTTTTATTCCAAAGTGATACATGTTTCACCCATTTTCTCACTAAGGAAATGATTGAAAGAATGTCAAACTTAATAAATTGTTCTATATGCTCAGATTTTTAAAAAATCGAACATGGGAGGCCAAGGCGGGTGGATCACGAGGTCAAGAGATCGAGACCATCCTGGCCAACATGGTGAAACCCCATCTCTACTAAAAATACAAAAAAAAAATTAGCTGGGCATGATGACGCATGCCTGTAATGCCAGCTACTCTGGAGGCTGAGGCAGGAGAATTGCCTGAACCCAGGAGGCGGAGGTTGCGGTGAGCCGAGATCACTGCATTGCACTCCAGCCTGGGCAACAAGAGTGAAACTCTGTCTCAGAAAAAAAAAAAAAAATGAACAATACAAAGATGTGTAAAGAAATAAAAAGTATTTTTCTTCTCCCCTGTATAACTCTCTCCTTGCCATGTGCTGCACCCTTCCTTGAGGAATCAATGCTGCTTGTTTTTCTGTAGCATTTGTCTACATTTTTCTCTATATTTGAACATATGCAGACATCATCACCATCAGTTACATTTACTAAGGAACTACCATATCCAGTAAAAGCACCAAATTCTTTCATGTATGATAACATGTAGGGATACACACACACACACACACAATGTAAATATATTAAAATGTATGTATGTAGGTATATGTACACACATATACATATATAATGTAAATATATATGTATGTATATGTATACACACATGTGCATTTGAAGAGGATTTTAAAAATACAAGAAAATCCCTAAGCCCAATGCAACATGGCACATAGCAAACCCACAATACACATTGGCTGTTGTCACTTTTGCCGTAGTTGTCATTGTTATATTTCTACAATCACTCTATGAGGTGTATTATTGGGTAACGTTACACATGTGTAAAGATGCAGAAAATTCCACTGAGCTTGTCAAGATCACACCTCTACAAGAGTCCAAGCCTGAACACCGAGCAGTTCACATTGGATAAAGTCTGCTCAGAATGAGCAGCAAGATTCCTAGTGGAAAAGAGTGAATTTTGCATCATTGCTGACAGAGAAACCAAAGGCTCTTTTCACAAAATGTATCATCGCTGGTACAAATGACCAGTCTAATTTCCATTTCTGGTGACTGTAGAACTTGATGGTTAAAAAGTGATGGAAAGAGCCAGGTGAGGCCCTGGGGAATGGTCAAGGAGCTCCTGTCCCGAGATTACCTTCTGCCCGAGGAGTGGGTGAAAAGATGCCCCTGGGCTCACCACGCTGGAATCTTTACTCCTGAGCACCTCCTTCTTGCTGAGCCCTATCCCGCTCCCAAAAACAAAGAGAAAAGCTCTGCATCAAGCTGTGGAGATGGGAAGGTAAAACTGCCAGTGGGGTATAGGTCATAGGTTTCCTGGGACTAAATGAGGTTGCACGTAACCCACTTGGAGTAGAGCCTAATAAATGTCACCTGTTAGCAGAGTTTCCACTCAGTTCACTGTTGTGGGCATTCTTAGCATCACCATTCATTTGGTTGAAGGTACTGCTTAAGACATTCTACCTAGTCAATTATATAAAGTGGGTTAATTATTTTCAAGGAATCTTTGTTGTTATCCTTAAAAGGTCCCGAGTGATAATCCAACCTCAGGGCTTGGTAAAAAGAAGAAATCAATGAATATTTTTCTCATTCTTAGGGAAGACTTGAGGTTTGGAGTCGCTGCAGTAATTAAGAACATAAAACCTGGAGTAAAGGCTTGCTCCATCACTAAGGAGTGGCACGATCTTGGATAGATTGCTTAACCTCTCTCTGCCTCAGCTTCTTCCATCATAAAATGGAAATGTTATGCATGCCCATGTCACTGGACTGTTGTTGGGATGAATGAGATGATCTATGTGAAAACATGTCAGGCCCCAGCACATGGTAAGTCAGCTTTCCTTGCCAGTGTTTTTTTCAGTCCAGCAGTATTCTACAAGAAACTCATTCCTTTCCCTCCTCCCTCTTCCTTCCACCGCCCTCATCCCCAACTCCTGGGCCCTAGAGGAAAGACTGACGTAGGAAAAGCTCACTGAGTGTGTTGTCATGTCTGCAACCAGAAACAATGTATTAGGAGAGGCTCTGTAGTTTGTTTATAGACAAAAGGGAGTCTTGGAAAAGGGAGCATGAATGGCCTTCATTCTCTGACTGCTGGAATTAGTTTGTCATCTGGAAACCACCTTCATTTTCCTCATATTCAGAATCTTCCCTTCAGTGAGCATGGAGCACTTTTCAACTATAGCCCTCCTTGGCTCAATGTCTCACTACATACTCCCCGGAAGGCAAGTAAAATGCCTCTTTCCTCAGACCCCCTTGTTGAATTCTCCCTTTCTTTTGCCTTCTCACTTTGAAGTCAGATGCTTGTTTAGAATTTATACTTTAAAGCAATTTTTTTTGCTACTCAGACAAGTCCATGGACGTGCACAGCAGCATGATTCATAATAGCCAAAAGGTAAAAACAACCCAAACGTCCATTAACTGATGAATGGACAAGCCAAATGTCATACATAAGCCTACAACGGATTATTATTCAGCCATGAAAAGGAAATAAGTACCAATAAATGCTATGACACCATGAATCTTAAAAACATTATGCTAAGTGAAAGGAACCAGACACAAGGGGTTGTATTGTATTGTATAACTCCACTTAAATATTACTATTAGTACCATGATTACAAGCTTCCAGAGGCCCTCACCAGAAGCAGATGCTGGCTCCATGTTTCTTGTACACCCTGCAGAACTGTGAGCTAAATATGCATTTTTTTCTTTATAAATTACCCAGCCTCAGGTATTCCTTTAGAGCAAGGCAAATGGAATAGCACATTATAATTAAAATTAGAATTAATTAGAATTAGAATATCTGAACTTAGAATGCAGCATGGAATATGTAGGCTCAATAGGTTTGTGTTTTAAGCAGAAATAGGAGACAGGGATGGTCACCATCAAAGTGGGAAGTCAAAAGATCACAGCTGGAATCTTAAATTCACCTATGATTCTATAGTGTTGGGCAGGAGATTTAACTTCTCTGAGCTTTAATTTATCCCTTGTAAAATATTAACAATCATGTCATTACACTTGCTGGAGATAACACAGAAGAGAAATTTATGCCACTGCTGAAGCCGTTACAGAAATACCTAAAAGGAATCTACTCTGAGCATTTTTAGATTCCTGCTTACTGCAGTAGTCCCATGATTTTGTGATCTCATTGAATCCTATACAAGAAAATATGTCCAGCACATTTCTGATTTCTGTCCTTGGTTATGCAGACCAGTGAGACTGCAGTTTCTTCTTATGTGGTCCTCACCCAGGCTCTCAAAATGACCTCAGTGGAAGGATGTCTTCCCTGTAGGACAGGAAGATCCAGACATGGGGTCCTGGAGTCTCTCCCTAGGACAGGAAGATCCAGACATGTGGTCCTGGAGTCTCTCCCTAGGACAGGAAGATCCAGACATGAGATCCTGGAGTCTCTCCCTAGGACAGGAAGATCCAGACATGGGATCCTGGAGTCTCTCCCTAGGACAGGAAGATCCAGACATGGGGTCCTGGAGTCTCTCCCTAGGACAGGAAGATCCAGACATGGGGTCCTGGAGTCTCTCCCTAGGACAGGAAGACCCAGACATGGGATCCTGGAGTCTCTCCCTAGGACAGGAAGATCCAGACATGGGATCCTGGAGTGTCTCCCTAGGACAGGAAGATTCAGACATGGGATCCTGGAGTCTCTCCCCAGGACAGGAAGATCCAGACATGGGGTCCTGGAGTCTCTCCCTAGGACAGGAAGACCCAGACATGGGATCCTGGAGTCTCTCCCTAGGACAGGAAGATCCAGACATGGGATCCTGGAGTGTCTCCCTAGGACAGGAAGATCCAGACATGGGATCCTGGAGTCTCTCCCTTTTTCTTTGGTTTCAGTCTGTTTAGGTATTTCCTGTGTTTTGGTGCCTTCATCATCAGCCCTGGTTACCCTAGAGGTTAAAGATGTACTCATGATCAGATGAAGCTCATAAGGAATTAGCTACACGTCCCCACTTGGCTGGTCAGATGGTGTCACAATAATATGAAGACAATTACCAGTAGTATGATGCCTATTTCTCAGACTAAGCTTTTATCAATGGAGCCTGCCAAGTGTGAACAATGATCAGCCATAAAGTGCTTCTTCTTGGAGGCCACTCATCTTAAACAGAAAGAGCCTTGAGCTAAATCAAAGACCTGGTTTCTAGTTCGTGCTCTCCCTGGGTAGCCTTTGGTAAGTTACTACCACTTTGAGCCTTCAAGTCCTTTAAACTGTGATATTGGAGGATGTTATATTAACTTTTTCCCACAGCCCTTGATGGTGATCCTAACGCACTTTGGGCCCTTCCATGACTTTTTGCTGTGAATGGGTTAGATTGTCAAAGCTAGTTTATGAGACCTCCAGGTGTGCTGGCAGAACTGACATGATGTATGGCTCTTATTCATAGTGTTGGGGGCACAAAGATAAACTAAGGAAATTTGACTACATATGGACTTTAGTTTACTATTTATGTTTGTATGTATAAGATTGTATATTAAACATTTCCAAAGACAGTGCAGATGGTAAATGATTCCTCCTCCAATCCACTTTTCTATTTCACACTCAGCAGAGCAAGACCCAGGACATTTAGAAGTTTATGTTAAGAATATAGCTGATTAGTACTCTAAGGAATCAGTATGAAAAGAGCATGGTGAGAAGGTCAGACTTTGGAGTCAGATCTAACAATTTGTCTCCATATTTTCTACTTATTAGCTGTGTGACCCCGAGAAGATAGCTTAACCTCTCTGACTCTCAGTTTTGCATTGAGAGAGTTGTGACAATCAATGTGGATGTTATTTAAAGCATTGCTTATTAAATCAAAGCTTAACTGTAACTTAAAAATGATTTATAGCTTCTCATAGAGACTTCCTTCCAAAGTACAGTATAGAAAGAAAGAAAAAGAGTAACTGTGCAGTGGAGAAACCTGACCAGCACTGCCTTGGCCAAATGATCAATGTTACTATCAACAACAATATATATTATTGATGGTGAGTCAGTACCCTGGATATGATATGATTAGAATGGTACTTTACATCTATGAGATCTTCCTCTTTAAAAAAAAAACCTTAATCCCTAAGTATGAGGAAAACATTGAATTCTGGTGGAGAGACATTCTACAAAATACCTGACCAGTATTCCACAAATCTATTGAGGTCATCAAAAAATGAGGAAGGTCTAAAGTTCTCAGCCAACGGGAGCCTAAAGAGACCTGAAGGGGAAATATGGACAAAACATAGAACATCCCAAATGATGGGAGAGTTAGAAATCGATCATTGGCATGAAAGAGGCAAACACAAAATTAGCAGTGAATTCCAACAATGTGTACGTGGGGAGGGTGGAGGTGTTACTTGAATTAGGTGACTGTATTAGTTTTCTAGATCTACTGCAAAAAGTCATCACAAACTTGATGGCTTTAAAATGACAGAAATATAGTGCCTTACAGCTCTAGAGGTCAGAAGTCCAAAATCAGATCAGCAGGGCTGCTGCCCTTCTGACATCTCTAGGGGAGAATCCTTCCTTGCCTCTTTCAGACTCTGGTGGCTGTCAGCATCCCTTGACTTGGGCTGCCCCGTCCATTGTTGCCACTATCTCCACATTACCACCTTCTCCCTAAATGTCTCTGAGTTCTGTCCTCTTCTTATAAGGACACCTGTCATAGGATTTAGGACCCACCTAAATCCAGAGTGATCTCCCCTGGAGACCCTGAACTTAATTACACCTGCAAAGACCCATTTTTCCAAACAAGGTCACCTTCTCAGGTTCCAGGGGTTAGAATTTAGACATGTCTTTTATTGGAGTGGTCACTACTTAACCCACCATGTGGCCACAACAAGACTTTCTGAGATGAGAACATTTATGTGGAAGAGTCCGACTCGCAAAGAACAGGGAGGAATATTCCAGGAAAGGAGAAAAATGTGGCCAAAGACCTTAAAGTAGGAAAGAGCTCCGTGTGGCTGAGGAACTGAAAGGACACAAGCAAAGCTGGAGGAAGTGGAGGAAAGACCTTGGTGGGCCTGGTGGGAAGGTTCTGATCCCAGGTGGCCAGGCTGAGCTAGTAGGGCCTCAGAGTGACTCACCCTTGCCTTCAGTCTCATTCACAGCCCAGAATTCTCCTTTTCACCTACCCACTGCTCAGTGCATCACAATAGCTTTATGCTCAGTGCATCACAATAGCTCCTGGGCCCTGGTAAGGGGACATTACACACTGCAGGAAAAAGCCTTTTATTCTCATCCATTTCAGTGTCATCCAGCTGACGTGGCGGCAGCTTTGTAGAGCCACAGTGAGCCTGGGTCTCAATGCCAACTTCTAGTTTCGATGCAACATGTCCCATCAGGCCCCATTGTGAGCTGCTAGCTTATGTCCTTGAACAAGCCCTGCCCAGTTTCGTTTCATGTCACTGAGGCAGCCGTAGTGTTGAGGCTTGAGCTCTGGCCCGAAGACCAGGAAACAGAGGCTGAATCCCATCTTGGGTTCTTACTAGCCACGTAGACTTGGAAAAGCCAGTCAGCCTCTCATAGCTTCTGTTTTCTCACCTATAAAATGAAAATGAAAAACCTCAATCTCATAGCAAGGTCATGAGACTCAAATAAGATGGTGCATTTGAAAATGTTCTGTGATTTATAGTGTTTTCTATGCAGAAAGAGGTGTTTTAAATAGTACTGACAGATACCCTGAGGGTCTCTAACCATCTTTCCAGAGAAAGGGAATTCTCAGGATTCGCTGTGTCTCAACATAAACTCATAGACTCTGCACTAAAAGCTGTGTGCTATTGTTTGTCAGTCATTCCCAAAAGGGCTAATAAGCATCATTACCCATGGAGGTACCACCATGCAGCAAGCTTTGAAAATGGAAAGGAGGAAGATCCAAGATGGCCATTTAGGAGCAGCTCAGGATTGCAGCTCCCAGTGAAAGCACAGAGGATGAGTGGACGCTGCATTTCCAGATGGATCTTTATTGCCCACAGACCAGGAGATTCCCAGGCGGAGGAGCCCCATGGGTCACCAGCATGGCTGTTTTGGCCGGCACAGCTGTTTTGCCGGCGCCCCAGCGCAGCAGTTCTCTATACAAAATACACTGGTCTGGTTGCCCTTTTAAGCTGGCGATTGGAGCTCCAAGAATGCAGAGTTGCCCATGCATCTGATTAAACAGGGGACTGAAACAGGGAGCCAGGCCAGGAGATTCCCAGGCAAAAAAGTGCCATGAATCTCAGTGCCATTGTTTCAGCTGGCACAGTGGATCACCGCACAGGAAATCACACAGATCTCGGTGCCTTTTCAGGGCAACTGGAACACCGGGGAGAGAGTCAACCATCCAACTTAAAAATAAAGGCTCTGAGGCAGGGAGCCAGGTGATCAGGTGCAGCAGGTCCCACCCACCCACAAACACAAAAAACAGCAATTGGAAACACTCTGGGTTGAGAGTTTCACGGCGAGCACAGCGGAACCCAGGATGGTCCAGCTCTGTGGGGGATTGGCAGCAGCCATTACCAAGGCACTCCACCCCTACAGAGGTAGTCCACCATTGCTGAGGTAGCTCGCTGTTGCCAAAGGCAACCTGCCATTACAGAGAGAGTCTGCCATTACAGAGGTGGGCCAAAATTGCCAAGGCAGTTCTAACTACACCCATATAAACAGGACTGCAGGGAAGTTCACATGGCAGCTGGGCAGAGCCCACAGCAGCTCAGCAAACCCTCTGCAAGCAGACAGTGAGTAGGCTGCCTCCGTGCTGGTCAGAGCAGCCCTGAAAATAAAAGGCAGCAGCACAATGGAAACTCATAAATAAAGCCCTAACTCCCTAGGACAGAGCACCTGGGGAAAAAAAGGGTAGGGGTTATGAGTTCTGCTGCAGAAGACTTAAATGTACCTGCGCAGCAGCTCTGAATGAACAGTGGAGCTCACAGCTCAGCACTTGAGCTCCTATAAAAGACAGACTGTCTCCTCAGCAGCTCCCTGACCCCGTATATACAAAGAGTCATCACCTCACAAAGGACTGATCAGACGGACATTTGGCAGGCATCATTCTGGGACAAAGATAGCAGAAGAAGAAACTGGTAGCAACCCTTACTTTTCTGCAGCTGCTGCAGGTGATTCCCCAGGCAGGCAGGGCCTGGAGTGGACCTCAGCAGTCCTACAGCAGAGGGGCCAGACTGTTGGAAGGAAAACTAAGAAACAGAAATAACCTCATCATCAACAAACTGGACATCCACTCAAACACCCAATCTGAAAATCAGCAACTACAAAGACGACAGGTGGATAAATTCACAAAGATGGGAAGAAACCAGTGCAAAAAGGAGGAAAACACCCAAAACCAGAACACCTCTCCTCCTACAAGGGATCACAACTCCTCACCAGCAAGGGAACAAGGCTGGATGGAGAATGAGCATAAGGAAATGACAGAATCAGACTTCAGAAGGTGGGTAATGAGAAACTTCTGTAAACTAAAAGAGCATGTTCTAACCCAATGCAAAGAAACTAAGAACCTTGAAAAAAAAATTGACAAAATACTAACAAGAATGGACAACTTAGAGAGGAATATGAGTGAATTGATGGAGCTGAAAAACACAACACAAGAACTTCGCAAAGCATGCACAAGTTTCAACAGCTGAATTGACCAAGCAGAAGAAAGGATATCAGAAATTGAAGATCAACTCAATGAAATAAAACAAGAAGGCAAGATTAGAAAAAAAAAGTGTAAAAAGGAATGAATAAAGTCTCCAAGAAATATGGGACTATGTGAAAAGACCTAATCTACATTTGATAGGTGTATCTGAATGTGACAAAGAGAATGAATCCAAGCTGGAAAATACTCTCCAGGATATTATCCAGGAAACTTTCCCAACCTAGCAAGGCAGGCCAATATTCAAGTTCAGGAAATACAGAGAACACCACAAAGATATTCTGCAAGAAGAGCAACCCCAAGGCACATAATCATCAGATTCGCCAGGGTTGTAATGAAGGAGAAAATGCTAAGGGCAGCCAGAGAGAAAGGTTGGGTTACCCACAAAGGGAAGCCCATCAGACTCACAGCAGATCTCTCTGCAGAAACCCTACAAGCCAAAAGAGAGTGGAGGCCAATATTCAACATTCTTAAAGAAAAGAACTTTCAACCCAGATTTTCATATCCAGCCAAACTAACCCTCATAAGTTAGAAAAAATAAAATCCTTTTCAAACAAGCAAGTACTCAGAGATTTTGTCACCACCAGGCCTGCCTTACAAGAGCTCCTGAAAGAAGCACTACACATAGAAAGGAACAACCAGTACCAGCCACTCCAAAAACATACCAAATTGTAAAGAACAGAAACAAAATGAAGAATCTGCATCAACTAATGGGCAAAACAGCCAGCTAGAACCAAAATGGCAGTATCAAATTCACACATAACAGTATTAACCCTAAATGTAAATGAACTAAATGCACCAATCAAAAGATACATCCAATTTTGGCAAATTGGATAAAAAGCCAAAACCCATCCATGTGCTGTATCCAGGAAACCCATCTCACATGCAGGGTACACAAAGGCTCAAAATAAATGGATGGAGGAAGATTTACCAAGCAAATGGAGAGCAAAAAAAAAGCAGGAGTTGCAATTCTTGTCTCTGGTGAAATAGACTTTAAAGCAACAAAGATCAAAAGAGACAAAGAAGGACATTACATAATGGTAAAAGGATCGATGCAACAAGAAGAGCTAATGATCCTAAATATATACACACCCAATACAGGAGCACCCAGATATATAAGGCAAGTTCTTAGTGATTTACAAAGAGACTTAGACTCCCACACAATTATAGTGGGAGACTTTACCACCCCATTGTCAATATTAGACAGTTCAACCAGACAGAAAATTAACAAGGATATCCAGGACTTGAACTCAGACCTGGAACAAGCAAACCTAATAGACATTTACAGAACTCTCCACCCCAAATCCACAGAATATACATTCTTCTCAGCACCACATCACACCTACTCTAAAATTGATGGAAGTAAATCACGCTTCAGCAAATGCAAAAGAACGGATATCATAACAAACAGTCTCTCAAACCACAGTGCAATCCAGTTAGAACTCAGATTTGAGAAACTAACTCAGAACCACACAGCTTCATGGAAACTGAAGAACCGGCTCTTGAATGTGGAGTGGATAAACAATGCAATGAAGGCAGAAATAAAGATGTTCTTCGAAACCAACGAGAATGAAGACACAACATACCAGAATCTCTGGGACACATTTAAAGCAGTCTCTAGAGAAAAATATATAGCAATAAGTGCCCACATGAGAAAAGTGGAGAGATCCAAAATTGACACACTATCATCAAAACTGAAAGAGCTAGAGGAACAAGATCAAAAAAACTCAAAACCTAGCAGAAGACAAGAAATAACTAAGATCAGAGCAGAACTGAAGGAGATAGAGACACAACAAAAAACCTTCAAAAAAAATCAATAAATCTAGGAGCTGGTTTTTCAAAAAGATCAACAAAATAGACCACTAGACAGATTAATAAAAAAGAAAAGAGAGAATAACCAAATAGATGCAATAAAAAACGATAAAGGGGATATCACCACAGATCCCACAGAAATTCAAACCATCATCAGAGAATATTACAAACAACTCTATGCACATAAACTAGTAAACCTGGAAGAAATGGATAAATTCCTGGACACCTGTGTCCTCCCAAGCCTAAACCAGGAGGAAGCTGAAACTATGAATAGACCAATAACAAGGTCTGAAGTTGAGGCAGCAATTAAGAGTCTACCACACACAAAAAAAGCCCAGGTCCCGATGGGTTCACAGCCGAATTCTACCAGACACACAAAGAGGAGTTGGTACCATTCCTTCTGAAACTATTCCAAATAATCCAAAAAGAGGAAATCCTTCTCAAATCATTTTATGAGACCAACATCATCCTGATACCAAAACCCAGCAGAGACTCAACAAGAAAAGAAAACTTCAGGCCAATATCCATGATGAACATAGACGCAAAAATCTTCAATAAAATATTGGTAAGCTGATTGCAACAGCACATTAAAAAGCGTATCCACCATGATCAAGTAGGATTCATCCTGGGGATGCAAGGCTGATTCAACATATGCAAGTCTATAAACAAAATTCACCACATAAACAGAACCAAAAACAAAAACCACATGATCACCTCAATAGATCCAGAGAAGGCCTTTGACAAAATTCAACAGCCCTTTATGCTAAATACCCTAAATAAACTAGGTGTTGACAGAACGTATCTCAAAATAATAAAAGTTATTTATGACAAACCAACAGCCAATATCATATGGAATGGACAAAAACTGGAAGCATTCCTTTTGAAATCTGGCACTAGACAAGGATGCCCTCTCTCACCACTCCTATTCAATATAGTACCGGAAGTCCTAGCCAGAGCAATCAGGCAAGAAAAAGAAATAAAGGGTATTCAAATAGGAAAGGAAGAAGCCAAATTGTCTCTATTTGCAGACGACATGATTCTATATCTAGAAGACCCCATCGTCTCAGCCCAAAATCTCCTGAAATGGATAAACAACTTCAGCAAAGTCTCAGCATACAAAATCAATGTGCAGAAATCACAAGCATTCCTATACACCAATAACAGACTTAAAGAGAGCCAAATCAAGAATGAACTGCCATTCACAATTGCTACAAAGAGAATAAAATACCTAGGAATACAACCAGCAAGGAACGTAAAGGACCTCTTCAAGAACTACAAACCACTGCTCAACAAAATAAGAGAGGACACAAAAAGATGGAGAAACATTCCATGTTCATGGTAAGGAAGAATCAATATCGTGAAAATGGTCATACTGCCCAAAATAACTTACAGATTCAACACTATCCCCATCAAGCTACCAATGACCTTCTTCACAGAACTGGAAAAAAATCACCTTAAACTTCATATGGAACCAAAAGAGAGCCTGCATAGCCAAGTCAATTCTAAGCAAAAAGAACACAGTGGGAGGCATCACACTACTGGACTTCAAACTATACTACAAGCTGCAGTAATCAAAACAGCATGGTAGTGGTACCAAAACAGAGATATAGACCAATGGAACAGAACAGAAGCCTCAGAAGCAACACATCTACAAACATCTGATCTTTGACAAACCTGACAAAAACAAGCAATGGGGAAAGGATTCCCTGTTTAATAAATGATGTTGGGAAAACTGGCTAGCTATGTGCAGAAAGCAGAAACTGCACCCCTTCCTGACACCTTACACTAAAACTAACTCCAGATGGATTAAAGACTTAAACGTAAGATCTAACACCATAAAAACCCTAGAAGAAAATCTAGGCAAAACCATTCTGGACGTAGGAATAGGCAAGAACTTCATGACCAAAACACCAAAAGCATTGGCAACAAAAGCCAAAATAGACAAATGGGACCTAATCAAACTCCACAGCTTCCGCATGGCAAAAGAAACAGTCATTAGAGTGAATTGGCAACCAACAGAATGGGAAAAAATTTTTGCAGCTTACCCATCTGACAAAGGGCTGATATCCAGAGTTTACAAAGAACTAAAACAGATTTACAAGAAAAGAACAAACAAGCCCATTCAAAAGTGGGCAAAGGACATGAACAGACACTTTACAAAAGAAGACATATATGAGGCCAACAAACCTGAAAAAATGCTCATCATCGCTATTCATTAGAGAAATGCAAATCAAAACTACATTGAGATACCATCTCATGCCAGTTAGAATGGCAATCAAAAAAATCTGGAGACAACAGATGCTGGTGAGGATGTGGAGAAATAGGAACACTTTTACACTGCTGGTGGGAGTGTAAATTAGTTCAACCATTGTGGAAGACAGTGTGGTGATTCCTTAAGGACCTAGAAATAGAAATTCCAATTGACCCAGCAATCCCATTACTGGGTATATATCCAAAGGATTATAAATTTTTCTACTATAAGGACACATGCACACGAATGTTCATTGCAGCACTGTTTACAATAGCAAAGACCTGGAACCAACCCAAATGCCCATTGATGATGGACTGGACAGGGAAAATGTGGCACATATACACCATGGAATATTATGCAGCAATCAAAAACAATGAGTTTGTGTCCTTTGTAGGGACATGGATGAACCTAGAGACCATCATTCTCAGCAAACTGACACAAGAACAGAAAATGAAATACTGCATGTTCTCACTCATAAGCAGGTGTTGAACAATGAGAACACATGGACACAGGGAGGGGAGCACTAGACGCTGGTGTCTGTTGGGGAGAATAGGTGAGGGACAGTGGGGGGTGGGGAGCTGGGGAGAGAGACCATGGGGAAAAATGTCAGATATAGGTGAAGGAGAGGAAGGCAGCAAATCACACTGCCAAGTGTGTACCTATACAACTATCTTGCATGCTCTTCACATGTACCCCAAAACCTAAAATACAATTAAAAAAAAGAAAATGGAAAGAAACAAAATTCAGATCTGCCTCTCTATGAAAAGCAGCCTGCCTTTGAAATTTGACTCTCTTAAAAACCTACTAAAATGAACATGGAGGGGAAAAGGAAGAACAAAATACCTGAGCAATTAATCAGCATTTTGTCCAACCCAATTTTGTTTCAAAGGACATTCATCAAGACCAACATACCTGCCAAGGCTAACCCTGGAAGCCCTGTGACTGGCCGTTCAGAATCGACATCCTCCTTGTCTGCCATCCACTCGTTTACAAACTGGTGTCAATGAAGGTAACAGTTTGTGGTAATGGGAACCATATGGGCTGGTGACTGCTGTCAGTAAAAATAGCCCACATGGCCTATGTGGCCAGACACAATGTCAAGCTAAGAGAAGTAGACAGAAAGCTGTGTCAAGGAAAGAAAAAAATGGTTTAAAAGACTAGGCAGAAGCCTGCCTGACTCTGAAGGAGGCTTCAGGGAGCTGGCACATGAAGCCAAGCTGGGCTCATCAACAGCAGAGACATTTGCATGAAACACCAGCCCTCCCCAGCCTGGCTTTCCACACTCTCATGCCCCAGATGAGAGGAGATAGAAAGAGGATTCTATCTGGGAATAGAGCTGAGTCTCAGCTCATGTAAAGGAGGACTCTCTGGGATGTGTCCTGGGCAGAATCTTCTCCTACCTTACCAACCCAGTAGACAGCAAGGAGATATAGCCAGAAATTTTAAACAACAACAAAACAAAACTAAGCATAAATTTTAGGCTCCTTTAAAAATGTATCATGTTTTGTAGCATAATAGAAAGAACGTGAATTTGCAAATTGCCAGACCTGATTTAACTCTCACAATGAATATGCTCTTGAATAAACACAAGCAAATTACATAACCTCTTAGCGCTTCAGTTTATTCATTTGCAAAATGGAAATAATGTAACCAATAGTTATTGTGAGGGGTACATGAGCTGATGTTCCTTATACTTAATAGAATTTCCTACTCATTTATTCCACTGATTCAACAAATATGTAATAAATGCCTACCAGGATCAAGCACACTTACAGAGGAATAAGCCAGTGCATAAAACAAAGTGGCCTGTTTTCATGGGGTTTATATTCTAGCTGCAAGTGAAACACATAGATTGTCAGAAGACGAAATAAAAATAAAGCAAGGAAGGGAGAATGGGGAGGGCAGGAATTGGGGGTGCAATTTTAAGTGGGGTGGTCTGGGAGGTTGACATTCCGGCAAAGACTGAAGGAGGTGAGAGAGCAGAACATGGAGCGAGGTGGGAGCAGAGGAAGTCACCAGAAGAAAAGTCCTGATAAGAACAGGACAGAGTACTCAGGGGCAGCAAAGGGACCAGTGAGGCTGGAGGGGAGGAGCCAGAGGTCAGAGAGACCACACCGGTCCGGGGGCTAGGGTAAGAACTTGGACTTGACTCAGTTCAAGTCAAAAGTCTTAGGAAGGTTTTAAAAAGAGGAGTGATAAGATCAAACTTATTTTTTAAAAAATAGAATGGCCCTGGCCACCATCTTCAGAAGTTTCTACACGAGTAAGTGCAAAAGCAGACACTAGTCAGGAAGCTGCTCTAAGAATCCAGGCGAAAGTAAATGGTGTCTTGGATTGGGGTAATGATATTTGGAAATGGTAGGTAGTGGTGGGATTCTGGAACATGTTAGGATCATAGGGAAGGCCTCCAGAATTTGCTGATAGCTTGAATAGGGATTAGAAAGGGGAGGAGGTCAAGAAAGACTCCAAGGTTTTTGAGTCTAAGCAACTGAAGGAAGTTGCTATTCACAGATAGGAGGATAATTGTAGGTGAAGCAGGTTGGAAAGAGGAGATAAGAAATACATGTTGCACATGATGAGTTTGAGATGCTTATTGGACATTCAAATGGAGACATTGGGAATCCACAGAGATGAGAATTATGAACCTGTAAGTAGTATATGAGATCATGAAACACCACGGGATCACCATGGGAATGAATGAAGATAGAGAAGAAAAGGTAGAGATGTTTTTCCATTGGACATCAATAAAGATTTATAGAACTTAAGTAGCCTTTTACATGGCATCATCTAAACTCCTCATCAGCTACATCAAGAACAAATATACTGGATATATAAGCAGTCCATATAATGTAGACATGAAATTCTATAAAATAGATGGTGCTATTATTACTTTGCATACAAGAAAACTAAACACCAGACAAGTGAATTAACGTGCTCATTGTCAAATAGCTAATGACAAACAAGACAGGAATTTCAACCCAGGCATCCTTACCCGAGTTCTGATGTTCTTTCCACTCCAGCCATCTGCCCCCTGCTGCATTTCCTTATTATCTAAGGTAGAAATTTATCTTTTGACCTCAACCTATTTGTGATGCATCTCCAAGTTTGAAACCAGGTCATTTTAGCAGTTAAGTATTCTAGTTTTCGAAGCTGAAATTGTTGCCAGCCTTAGAAAATAAAAAATGTTTTTAAAATTGTCGTTGGCAAAGTTTAATTTTAAAAGAGAGAGGAGAAAAAGAGAGGGAAAGAAAGAGATAATGAAAAAAACTGTGCCTTCCATTTTCCTATAGGTACTCCCTGTCTCTTGGACTTTAAACCATCTTCTCTGTCTTTTGAAGAGGTAGATATAAGGCAGATTCAATCTTCCCTGTCTTCAAATCCAGCACAAGGGATAGAAAAAATAAAATGATCTATGTGGGGTCACCAAGTGATTTGTGTATGTGACTTGGAAAAGGTCCTAGCTGTCTTGCATCACTCCCTTTCCCAGCAGCCTGTCTAACACTGCTTATTCAGTGTATATCAAAACTGATGAGAAGAAAATAATACCTGATAATTTGCAAAACACTTGCTATCCAATACTGATGCAAAAGCACTTTTTGAAATAGCTACTATATATACTAGCATCCATTTTAAAGATGAATAAATCACAGCTTAGAGAGATTAAATAATTCAACAAAGGTTACCATAAGACAAAAAGCTGCAATTTTATGAAAGGTTATTATAATCACTAAAAAATAAATATAAATATGCTTGGTACCTACAAGACCTGCAAATCAAGCCCAGTTCTGTTTTGGCACTACCGTTTTCTGCAGTATGGTTTAAAGTCTTACCTGTGTCTGTCTTCTCTCTTTCCTGTTTGGGTAACATTGCTCCTTCTTGAGAAACACCAAATATTGTCCCTGTCAACGGAATGTTCTGAGTTTTGTCCATCTTGGTAACTCCAGTGCCTTTCTGGTTTCTTGGTGCAGTGCAGGGCATGATAAATGTCAGCTGGGCTGTGCTGAGCCAGAGTTGGTGAGCTGAAGAGGAGGAGGAGTTAAGTTTGTAGAAGCAGGTTGGGTGAAGACCACGAAGAACTATGGATGCTGAGCTAAGCTATGTATATATCCATCTGTATTTAATAGGTTGTCAGGGCCACTGCCCCTTCTGGCTCCCAGGTTCTGCATCTCCATGTGGGTTGTCCTACAGAAAGAAAAACACTGCTGAGCAAATAAAGTGAGGACAAACATGTCTTCATCACAGGCCTCAGAAAAACCCATGCCAAGACTTATTATTTTTCAGATTTGAAAACTTGATTTTATTTTTTTCTTCCCACCCACATCTAAAGTCTTGTTATGGCTTCAGCCAAAGAAAACCAATTTCAACGGGGCCATTTCAGGCTTGTCCTGAGACCAAAGTAGGAAGACAGGAAGTAGGAGGTGACATTTGATTTTTTTTGAGGTTTCCTGCTCAAATTTAAGACCAAAAATTTTTGTGTGGGTTGTTTGAGTCAGATGAACTAGGGAGAAGTGTTCCGTTTCATATTTATTAGCTATGCTAGAACCAAAAGGAAGAGAGAAAATCATTAGTTCCTTTTCTTTTGTAGCTGTTGGTCTAATGGTAAGAGAAGAAGGAAATAGACAAGTGCAAAATAAGGCAGAAAGTGATGCTGAGTGATGGCAATGTGTTATGTGGACTTACAGATCATACTCAGTTGGAGAGAGAACAGAGAAGGCTTCTTTTGACAGTGACATTTGAAATTGATCTTTAAGGCCACCTAAGATTTTTATAGGCATACATAGGATGGGAGGAGAACATTCTAGTTGGAGGGAACAGAGCAGATTAAGTGAAGGAGGCAGGATGTCTCAGGTTAAGGAAGCAGATTTAGGGAGCAGTGATTATATTTGGTATGAGCTATCTAGGGAACTCTAGTGACATTTTATGAGCCCTATATTGAGGGAAATGAAACCTGGTTAATTCTGAATACACTGGGTGTGGTGGTCAGGGCCAGCACCTGTGTTGTTTGAAAACACATCAAGAGAAACGGAGAGGAATCAAGTACATGTGGTCTCCAATCAATTTATAGCACAATGGGGTAGATAATGCAAGGACAGCATGAAAATTAATTCGTGTATTACCCCTATACAATTGATACCTTACAAGGCTTACCAGAAATGACCGATGCAGGGCTGTGGAAACTTGGACAATAGAGAGATGGCTATGCCATTGAAAACTCACTGAAAGCTTGGAAGAGGTGATAGCTGGATGGGTAGAATTCAAATCTATAAGAAGAGGGCACTGAGACTTTTCCAGATGGGAAAAAAACAACTTGGGCAAGAAAACATGAAGAATACTTAGAAAAACTAGCATAAGTTTGATTAGCAGGGGTTCTTAAACTGGGGTGCATGGATCCTTGAAAAACATCAATGGATAGAATTCAGAGATGGCAAATTATTTTAATTTAAAAAAACAAAGTCCTCACTGAATTCCCACTTAAATTTAGCATTTTCTTCAAGTATGAACACAGACAACAAACCACAGTAGTCTTAATAGTATCTTGACCCTGTATCAGTAGAAATCACAGATATTTTCACAACACATCACTTTTGTTGAAGATATCCTAGAAGAGCATTTACACTCATTATAACTTCAAAATTCCAGTGGTATCAGACCTGATGCTAGGGCTTGTGCTTTGATGCGTTACTAAAGCAGCATGTTAACAACCCTATCACACTTTCGGTTATTTTGATAACCATATCTTAACATAATTGTTTTCCTTTGCAATACTATGTACTTTATTTAATGATTTCAAATCCTTACTTTCAGAAGGGCTCCCTACTTTTTCCATGTCCTGGGCACAAAGTTTGAGGACCCAAGGGATTCTGAAAAAGAAGACAAAATAAGGTTCTAATGGCAGTGACAATAAGATCACAGAGACTTGAATGTCAAGTTAAGATGTTTGATATAAATCTATAATTACCAGACAGCTAGCACCAGTGGTTTGTCTAGACATCAATTGTTCCAGCCCTG